ACCTTGTTCGAACAGGGCAGAAGTAAGTATAAAGACTCCCTTGGAGGTGACCATACTACTGGGGAGAGTTATAGTTCAAGACGTATTACCTACTCAGCGCATCAAGGCGGGTAACCATTTTCAAAGCAGTCCTTTGGAACCGCTCGGTGAGGGCCACGTCTGAGTCAACACGTCATCAGTAGACAACCTGGTTGACATATTCAAGAAGTGGTTTGGTGTGTGCTCCATAGAATATCTGGAAGTGAATGCGCGTAATACGAGGAAAGGTGAGCCAGCTTATTCGTAGAACGGCGAAGGCCTTTTGAACAGATTTTTCATGGTACACTGAGAAGGACACGTTTGAAGAGAGCCAGATACTTTTTTATATCCTTTTATATCCTTTTTTAATCCTTTTTGATCCTTTTTAATCCTTTTAATCATTTTTTATACATCTCCCTGTAATGTCTTCTCTCCTATTCTCACCATCCGCGAAAAGACGTTCGCTGAGTCTGTTACCGACACATGGGCACACTTTTCATTCAGAGGAAGGTGCCAGTTCATTGACCACTTCTTTGCGGCGTTCACACAGATTCGGAGGGCTCTGGCGTTGAAACTTCAGGGTTTCAGATCTTCCGCAAAATGTAAATATGGAATTGAAAGCACATCTGGAAGATCTTTGACGTAAATAAGAAGCTGAAGTGGTCCGAAAACAGAACCTCGAGGAACTACACAGGAGACCGGTGCCGAAGAAGAGTAGATCGAGCCTGGTTTCACTCGGAACATCCTACTCCAGTGTGGAATTTTCCATGTGTCACATAGGGATCGAGTTTGTGGAGCAATGGACTCGATCGAATGCGTTTGAGAAGTCGAAATATATAGTATGTCATGTGAGTTGCTCGTCCTTAGCTTTAGCTTGGGCTAAGCTGTTCATAAGTACGAGGGCATTCGTCACGCTGAAACGGTTTGCGGTGGGTACGTTAAGTTGCTGGTACTGAGATGATTCAAAATGACCTGCCTCAGAATGCGTTCCATCACCTTGCACAGTATGCTAGTGAGGCTAATTGGCCTGTAGCTGCCTAAAATCACGCGCCACTTTTTTTGGTCTTATTGAAACCGAAATTACTACAACTCCATCGGATTCGACCTAGGAGCTTCAGGGTTTCGTGAAGATTGAGTGGAACTGAACTATAGTACACTATTTGGCGTGCTTTCCATGTTGGTTCTGTTTTCAGTTGACACAAGGACCGGTGTTTTCCTCCGATATAGCAACAACGTCCACGTAATTCCTCACTATCATTCGTGCCTCTTCAGATTATATTGACCAGCCTGGTCCGGTTAGTTGATCCCAATCGACTGCTTGATCGGCAAGTTTGATGTACACCTCAATTTTGTGTAAGATATCCCACCCGACTAATGAGTTACACGACATTCTTACTCTTACCTGAAATGTGACGAAAATACTCCAGCCACCTTCATGTTTTACGGATTGTGGCCCCGAGATGCATTCTGTCCTCCCATCTTACTGATAACATTTCCTTTCCTCATATCATCGCCATTGTCGGGAGAAGTTTCTCATCCATTATCGACAGGCTAGATCCTTTGTGCATTACGGACCTATCTCCCCGTAGACTCGTCTTGATCTTAATACTGCCTGCTGGTAACAACAAAAGCTTGGAAGTCTCCGGGGTCCACACTAGTGGTCGACTCTTGAACTCTTTCGAAATCAACCGCTGCGAAGAGACGGGGCCTTATCTCGGGGTGGTGTTTTGGATGCCCTGTGACCCACTGAACTATACTTCGATACCCGTATAGTTTCCCCCACAAGATTGGTCAGTGAATAAAGTTAGCAAGCGGAGTAGTAAGTGGCTCTTGTTCGTACGCTGGTTTCCCTTTACACTTAGGTATGCCGTCCGTCAGAAAGAAAAATCCAGGGTGGAAGTACAGCAATTGAACTAACGGCCTCCATCGCTGTCTTCCAGCTTCTTGCTCTGCAACTTTAGTGAGGTGGAGGCAGCTTCAGCTGGATATGCCTGGATGGGTATTGTTTTGAATCATCGACCGGAAGCGCCTCTACTTAGCTATATTCCTGTTGATTGTCGTCTCTGCATGGTTAGCTTGGCAACAGCTGTGAAATAATCTTGAGAAAACGAGGTCAACAATTCCCTATTTATCTTATTGCTTTAAACTCCAAGGAGCTGTAGCTCTGAACTTGTCAAAGATAGGTTCTTGAAGCTTTTGGCGGTCGTTTACAACGGGCTAAAATCCCAAACGTCGTTCTGGCCGCTGGTGACATGAACACCCAGGTAGATAGGCTTAGCGCTACTGAGGTCGAATTGGGTGGTAATCTTAGGTAGACTCGGAAAATACGAGCAGCGGAGTGCATCTGCTGCAGATTTACGCCATTTGCCCACTGTTCTTTCGAAGTGCCAATTTCCGGAACAGCAGAGAATTCTCACATACGTGGGGCCCAACAACGGACCAGCTCTGAAACCAAATGGTCCACATTGCTATTAGTAGTTGCCGATTCAGAAGACCGATTAAATCGTGTCGCCTTCTGTGGAACACGCGTGGAATTCGAGCATGCATTTTCTCGTTTCTCCTCTTCATTACGCTTTTCAGGTCCAACGAAATGCGTACTTCTTGCTTAGCCATCGTGGTACGCGATATCTTAACCCGAGAGCGTCAAGAGGTGAACTAGTACCAGCTCTTCTCCGCATCCACTCTTTTCTGTCTTTTCTTCACTTGAATTCTTACAACAGTGCAACAGTTCCGTGAGTGGTTTCAGCCTTACTGCGAATGATTTTCACTTTTGGCTTAATTTCTCCACCGAAGGGAAAGTCACTATGAGTATGCCTGACGCTCAATTTTTTGCACCCATTAGCCGTTGGCGCGGGGCACAATAAAAGAAGAGCACCCGACGTAGGGTCATACGAAGTATCCGAGAATATAAACATAGTTCTTTGCTTGACTCAAGCTCAGCCTCACCGACAGACGAATAAAATGTCCCCCAAAGCGCACAAAAAGTGCACCGCTCAGCGGTCCTAGAAAACAGAAGAGTTTTTCCAAAAGCTACGGCCAGAATGTTGGACGCTGTTAACCTTAACAGATCCGGAATTAAGTTGGCTCTGGTAAACGATCGGTGGACGTCGTTGAAGACCTTAATTCAATAAGTCACTGTGGACCAACTAGGCTACATGCGATGACATCGAAGGGACCACAGGCACCATGTCTTTATCCAAGCAGCAACACAAGCATGCCTTGCACGTTGCAGCTACAAGCCACAGTCACCCAGGAGGGATGATATCTGATACTGTTTAAATCTGGCATCAAGCATGGGATCCGCATCCAACGTGAGAGACTTTAGCGGACTTTATCGTCTCATACGAGCACCTTTGGGCGAATTTTAATCTGAAACTGCCTACTCGGGACACCAGCACTGGATCGCAGTTTGTAGAGACCTGGCGACCGATCGCTGTTTGTAATAATAATAACAATAATCCTACAGCTTTAGTACCATTTCGGTGCCCGGCTAAGGTGCCAACGGAAGGAGGCACGAGGGCTGGATACTGCCAGGTTGCCCAAGCCAGAAAGGGGCCAGTCGAGATGCTGAGGTTGGGTTCGAAGCACAGATTTTCGAGTCTCTAAGCTGGCGCCTCAAGTACTCGTTTATCTTGAGCTATTTGTATGATGTTTGGCCAACGGAAGGAGGCACGAGGGCTGGATACTGCCAGGTTGCCCAAGCCTAGAAAGGAGCAGTCGAGATGCTGAGGTTGGGTTCGAAGCACAGATTTTCGAGTCTCTAAGCTGGCGCCTCAAGTACTCGTTTATCTTGAGCTATTTGTATGATGTTTGTACGCAACCGATTTCCAAGATATTTATTAAGCCAACTCATCCTGAGCAGCTAATCGCCTAAAAGTTTAACTGAAGCAGTATCATAGAACGGTCCCTAAAGCCTCGGCCGGTCGGGCGTGAGCAAACCCGTTGGTGAATTTCCACGAATTACTTGGGTACTTGGTCACAGTGTGAGCCTTATTTGAAAGTCCAATCAGTATAGGAGTTCGTCGGGAGCCAACAGACGTAACAGGGTTCATGAGCTTTCATCCCGTTGGTTCCAAGATGCCCATTGTCAATTTGCTACAGCACGACTGTCCACCGCTTCGTTCAGGTGACTTTCTGAAAACAAAACACACCCGTCGACTATTGATACTCCGTCACGTTGATTGAAGAAACGTTTCACCTCATCTTGAGGTACGTAGACATTGACTTTGTGCTCCATACCTCTATAGCGGAAGTCGATCGCTTCCCATTTTTCCGTAATTCGTTCCGAAATTCAACCGCTCATGTGTCTTTCTCTTAGTATCAGCGTAAGTAATCATTTCCTAGTCTGTTGCCCCAGCACCTACACTACTTCCTACTCACCTGCCTTCCGATTCTGTCTATGGACAGTCCGAAACACTTTTTCTACCCCACATTATCTCCTTCCTCCCCTTATAACATCGTCACTGTAACACAGTTGCAGGTCGCCACTTTCCTCACCTCATTACTATGCTGCTCTAGATCTTCCTGCTGCTCGCTAAAACCAAGGATGCTACGGTGAACCCCTGCAAGCAGTATGTAATCGAATGGAAGCTCTCCCGGAATCAAAGTATATTCCCACACCGTAGCTCGAGCGAGTTACGAACAACTATAGGGTCCTTCTAGGTCTATTTCCCTGCTCAGCCAGATGTAAAACATTCGCTCTATGCAGTCTGACTAGAAAGCCTCCGGACGGTTCAAAACCCACTGTGAACGGCTCTGATAGCTACTTTACTGGTGTATACCAGCACATATCCGGGTGTCGCAACCCGATTGTTTGAAACAGCCCTAACATTGAAGAATTCTCTAGATGCTGTAGAAGAAGCATAAATAGCTAACATCTTCAGCGCAAACGATCCCGGTCTGATTTCCCCGTGCGTTGATTTTCGCCAAGCCATTTCGTGACCGCCTTCCATAACTGTGTATGTTCTTGTGCATTTCAGGTGATGAATTTCGAACCTTGTGAGTCCTTGGAGTTTCCCCCGAGTGCATTTACCGTAAGCTCCCTTATGTATATTCCATTTTCCTTAGAAAAGAGAAGAAGAGACTTTTGAGGACTACACGGCTGTTACGGACTGGGAGAGGTGGGTTCATTTTCTGTCGCCCGGTTAGGTGTTATGAGCCATTATTTATGTATATCTTTTCTTCGTTACTCACTTAGCCTATCAAACTGTATCCGCTGGTTCAATTTGCTGCCTATCTTCAATGTTTTCTCTAGGATGCCGAAAACAGTTCTAGATTTTGAAATACGAGGCAGCTCTGTGACTATACACAGCATAAATAAAGCAATGATTTGCACGTTTCCTAATGTAGTTTTCTTCCTCTACGGTGTCCACCAGAAAGAATTGACTGAATGTGCTCTGTTCCAGCGGTAACCTGGCGGGGTCTTTCGCGCGTGGTTTCTCCAAAGGAGACAACTGTGTATCTCTTCTATGTAGATTTTTTTCGGCTATAGGAGTCATCCACACTGGATGTTGTCGATTGTCCTTTGTAGTCTTTATTTATAGAAAATATACTTGTATTCTACCATGTTTTGTAGGTGATGGTGATGGTAAACTGTCTGCATTGTTTTAGGATGCTAGTAACGCCTTCCTTGTCCCCATAGAAGTGGTTGCGTTCATAAACCAGTCAAGCCATTGCGGCTAAATGTTGGGAATCTTACGTTGTGGTGCTTATGCCCCCTGTTGATCCATATTCTACAGATTTGTCCAATCACTGGAAAATTTATTGGCTCGTTGGGAATTGAGGGCTGATGGCGATCCTGCGGTGAGTACGACGTTTATTTGGTGGTTACTGACTAGTGTCGAGAATAGCGTTATGTCTATTTCTCATTCACTTTCACGCCTTTTTTTCACAATGAGACTTTCGAATAAATTGTGGTTGTACGACAGTGGAGCATCATTGTTAAATATTGGCGTTGTGGTGTCGGTGATGCTAAAGAATAGCTTTTTAGGTTCGAAGGCCGAACCACAAGTAGAGTTTTCTACTCGGCTTTGTGTCTGTTAGACTGAAGGACAATACTGTTGTAGCCTCCTCCCTCTACATTAGTTATTGGCTACAAACTGTGTACCAGGGGTTCGTTGGTTCCTGCTTCTCCAGTTTCAGTCAGAAAAATGGGTGAGCATGGAACATATAGCCAAGCATTGGATGCGGTGGCATAGGTAGCTCGTTCGTACTGATACATTCTCATTAGGGAAGCTGAAGGACCAGAAACTCGGAAGCCATGCGTTGAAGGCGGTAGCTTTTTACCATTCAGGTACAAGCAGCCCAACACTAGAACACTAACTATGGACAGAGGAGCGGAGAGGTAGCCGATCGGTCGGTGATACGTATCATGTCACGTACGTTACTTCACTTTACTCAGCAGTATGGGGTCTCTTGATGATATGGAAGACTTAATGGACATGACGTTTAGCTGGTATCTGCATACCGTGCTGATTAAATTAAACTTATTGGATCATTATTTATTTGGCTTAGTGGATTTATACTGTGTGGATAAAAGCAGCTACTAAATTGCCAATCTGTCGTTTCCTACCCACTCCCTTCTGCTGCTGCTGCTCTTAACGCCTTGTTTCTCATTCCTTTCAGATTCAACAGTCGCTTTTGTCTAGTGTTTCTTTTACCTCATCTGGATACCTCTGTGGCCGGTTGTATTTCGGCGAACGGGAGTTCCAACTGGTCTACCTCAGCCACCCGTCTGGCGATGGCAGTATTCTACAAGAGCGTAGACGTTGGTTTCCTCCGTTTCTGTATCGATTCTATCCAATTAGGTTCTTCAGTACCCCATATCCTGGATGCGAGCGATAACATATTTGATGGACATCTTGCCGCTCCAATTGCATGGTATGTTTGCATCTCACCTAGTGATTTTTATCATCCTCTTTTTGGACATGCGTCTTCATTTCGCACAGTTGTTTCACATTTCGTTCTGAAGACTGCCCACCTTGTCACCAATGGTGGATCAATATCAAATTCACTTTATCAACGTATATCAAACGGCTAAGCATTGTCGCGTTCCTGTTACTGGGACGATGCAGACAGTTATCTTATTTCGAAGAGGTTATCTCAGAAGATCGGTTTCCAATATGAACTTAACAGGATTACTTGGATAATGAAGGCGGTCGGTGGATGGTGGATATTCGTTCTCATGGAATGTGGGTGCCTGTAACTTACACACTGCGCAGTATTAGTGTCTCCTGATTTGGCTCAGGTCAACGAATCGCTGTGTTATTCCTGTGGGTGCAGTCGGATAGGTTTAGTGTCTGAATTTCTCTCATGGCCTAGCAAGACAAAGAAACGTACCAAACACGAACAGTTGAACCAGACAAGCAGAGAGCGATACTGCAGTTTCCTGCTTTTGGAAGAATCATCTGAAGCTGGTCTGTTTTCAAGGTGACTGGTTTGGCAAGGAAAGTCTTGGAAGGCCTACCAAACGTGGTCTGTTTCCTGATACGTCGGGGACAGTTGTATTAGGACATCGAAGAGTTTTTAACAACCTCATGTTTAGTGTGTCGTTAAGAGAGTTACTGAGGTATGTGGAATATCGTACCAGGTGAAATATAAGGTGACCTTTGTGCAGCTCATTCAGTTGAAGTATGTCACGAACGAGTAATTTGTTTGGAAATCAGTTGACTCTCCTGTTCCCATCAAATGGGTCAGGGAACGAGTGTATTTCTTGAGTCGGTAAAGTACTGCCAGGCACCGAACTTGTTTCACGTATTTGGGCGTTTCTTTGTTTTGTCACGTCTACTAATGCGCTATAAAATCCGTTATATTGAGCCCGATGTGTCTCCTGGAAACCAAACGCGTCCACTCCGTTCGCTCTACTATGCTCCACAGAGTTCAGTAGGTGAGGCCCGAGCTACTTTCCAAGAGGTTTGGGGTTTGACCTTCGATTGCTCCTGTATTGGTGTGGACAGTACCCCATCTACTACCCCATCTTCCTCGAGTTGAGTTCTGGCTAGGTATCCACGGGATGTCACTGCTGATTGATTTTCTTTGCTTTTCAATTGTCCAAATTATGGCCTAATGCAATACCATGGAGATCAACTTGATGATTTAACAATATAACTCCGCAGAGAAATTGAAATGATGTTGTATCCGAGTTCTCAAAGTTGTATTTTAAAACTGGTTACCACTATAGTAAGTTTCGGTCGTACCTATGGCATAATTCAACCCTCAATCAAGCCCCTAATCTGGTTGCTCGTTTCAGAAAATCAAAGAAAGGTGGTTTCCGTTTAGCACCCAGTTATTATCCTTGTGACATAATCTGCTATAACTTCTATTTAAAGGTGAATTATAAGTCCAGTGCCTTGTGACATAATCTGCTATAACGTCTATTTAAAGGTGAATTATGAAGTCCAGTGGACTGTGTGAATGTGAACCAGAGAGACTGTTATCCGTAGAAATTGTAAACCTGGCTGGAAGATAATTCGACTGCTAATCAACCACCCAGAGATGAAATTCAGTTTTTGAATCCTGAATTTTTCAAGCGTAACCACACTTCTAAACTTTCATCTCCCTACTCCAGTCCAGCCTTCTTCCCGGAAACTTTGATTTTCATGCGTGACAAAATTTCGCTTTCGACTCGTATCTTCTGCTGTATTTCTCTTGTTATTTATACAGTACCCACTTTGTTTTCGCTTCTGATTTTACAGCTTTGGTCTAACTCAAGCTTTGGTACTCCGTCCGACCGAGGGCGAAATCTCCGGTGCCACACGGCTACATCTGTTGCTTAGCTCAGTGGAAATGGCCGTGCATGCCGTCCGGTGGTAAGTTATCGGATTAGGTGACTGGCTGCTTATCAGATGACAACCGGATCACCACTTAACATACTGAGGGACTTCAGATTAGTGTTAGGTCTTTCCACGCTTAGTTTTCTGGCTATGTTGTCCACATCATGCCTGTTTGACCATGATTAGCCAACTTGGTATGTGCGAGTTTCGATCAGTGAAGTAAAAAACCTCAATAAGGCAAATACATGGGAGAGAATTGAAAAGTTCTCTTCTGAATCTGTCCTGTGGATATCTACCCAGCCATCAGAATTTGATCAGCGTGACTATTTATAGTCTATTTGGCAAGAGGAAATGATTTCCATTGATAATCTCCTGTAGACTATCCGACGCCAGGTTGGTCCGAATTATGAATCCAATGCGCGATAGGTGAGTCAGGTGTACCCCAACTCATCTGAGTTAGAACAGATCATGTGTCAGATAGTACTTAGACAAGCAACACGTATGAACTCTGTCTCGTGAGCACATATACACTAGCGCTGGTAACAAAAATAGGTCCTAATGTAAAGCTGTTCAAAAACATATTGGTCTGAGATCGGTTGGATTAGATTGAAGAATAGCTCGTGCTCACTGAGCGGTCTGACTTCACAAACAACGCCGTGCTAGCTGCTCGCGAACCTGGACTTACAGGAGATATTATATGGAGAGGTGTTCATCGTTAGAGGTACTCCATCTCCTCTAAAATGAGTTTTCGTAACACGGATACCCGTGTTTAGTTCACCAATGGATTCCAAAGTTAGGCTGGAATGGTTAAAGCGCAGATTTACTCACTGGAAGGTCCGTGGTTCGAACCGCCCTCGCCTAGTTCACCAATGGATTCCAAAGTTAGGCTGGAATGGTTAAAGCGCAGATTTACTCACTGGAAGGTCCGTGGTTCGAACCCGACCTCGGCATCTAGACTGCTTGGGTAACTTGGCAGTACCTTGCTTCCTTCGGGTGGTATGGAAGCTAGGTACCAAGGGGGTGTTAGAGCTGAATTATTATTACAAGGTTAAGCCAAAAGGATATTCACAAACGGCCCTTTATACGGTGGTCCCTTGTTGATGGATTTTACCGTGATCGTTTCGTGTTCTTATCCGTTCTACTTACAGTTTTGAGTTTTGGGTGAATGTCTAATTCTTGTCTAGTAATTTTTCTCCTTTATCTTTCCATCCCAGTCCTCTGCCCGTTTTGGTAGCCTATTCAGATCCAGCCTACTGTTACGGAGTCGCTGCCATCCCACCCCTACCAAGTTCGAGTGACGTAGTACAGGATGAAGTCAAACACGAATACCAGGTTTCTGTACTCACGGGTGCTCTGAACATTGATTTTTCTGTCGGAAGGATGGAAGATAGTGTGAATCCCTCGTGCACCCATTTGGACGGATTGCGAGAATTGTTTTTAGGGAAACTAGTGAGTTACGATCGAATATAGTGTGATGATTGCATCCCTGGTGCGACTTCGGTTGTTCGAGTAAACCTGTCTCCCAATCCTTAGCCAGTCGCGTAAGAGCACACCTTGTGGACGGCTGATATCACTGGTCTGTCGTCAACCCTCGCTCGTTTCCTTAGAACTAACTGGCTTATCACATGTTGTCTAATGTATTTATAACATATCTGACCAAGGGAAGAGTATAGCTTCTGTTAGGTTACTTCCAGAACCGTGCACCCAACTTGTTTTGAATGTTGCAATGGTACTTGGTGTAAGTGGATCTCCGGAAGTACGATCGAAATTAAGGAATGACTTCATAGGAAACCGTTTTACAGCTGCATTTCTCCGCTGTCCAGGGGACGGATGTTTCCTGCAGTACAGAGTTCTAGCAAGCTGCCTCTAACTGTTCTTTTTGTGATTGGACTAGTTTGCCCAAATGATTTCATCGGTTTATTCAGCGGTAGTGTTTGGGACAAGTGCAGTAACATCCCAACCATGGGGAAGCTGTGAATGCAACCACCATTTGTTGGCTTCATCGTCTCACGTCATATCGTTCAGCTGTGACATGCTTTGGGTGTGTACCAGCCACGCACTCTGGTGGATTCACAAGTGCTTATATGGTGTCAGGTTGCTCGAAGCCAGACTGGAGTACTGGAGATTTTAGAAAGATGTTCATCCATTGGGCAAGTGATAGATTCATGTGATGTTGTCACTTAGTTAATTGAGACATCAAACCGAGTTGTTGTAGCGTACCGAACTCCACATGCGACCACCTGCAACCGTGGACACCATCGCAAACGCCATACTTCAACCATCTGCTTACCAGATCACACACCCCCAGCCGTGTGTTCCGCACTCCTTTCACTTTGACCCGGTAAATCGAATAGTTTATCGTTCGACGGGTCATATGTAAACCACAATCACTCGTCTATTTCGCTCGCCACACTGGCCTTCAGCTACGGGCACTTATACAGGTGTCTATTTTTATCATTTGCGCGTCCCATTGAACCACTAATCTTTCCTTCGTGATGTACACTTATGTCCCTACACTACCAGTTCACGCAGGTACTTCTATCTTCAGCTCGCCAGCACTTGATACATTGTCGTTTCGCCTCCCTATTCACTTCAGGTTCGCTAATTTTCACCCTAGAAGTGGGAGCGAGATGGCTCGGTGGTTAGAGCGAGAATTTACTGACCAGAAGGTCTGTGGTACAACCCGACCTCTGCCCCTCGACTTCCCCTGTCTAGGCTTGGGAAACCGGGCAGTATCCCGGCTCTCATGCTTCCTTAAGATGGCATTGCATTTAGGCACGGAAAGGGCGCTGCAGCTGAACGATTTCTACCTGGCAACCTGTCGCGCTCAGGCCAACAAACGTGATTCTCGGAGTTGCTCTGTGTTAAGCAGTTGGCAAGCCATGTGCAGTCATTGAGTACGTACTAACTACACTGATCCTGACGAGGGGAGCATGGAGAGACTCTTTTGGAGGTCAGATCAGCGTTTGCCAGCACAAAGCAACTCTTACGTCCATCTACAGAGTTGATTCTGCTGTGGATAGGTCCACTAGTTTTAAGGATGATGGTAAACTGTTGGACCTCGGTGGTCGTTTGACTGTCACTATTTACCGGCGTGAAGCATCGGTGTTGAACACTGATGCCATGCTGTTGATGATGATGATGATCACTGTTTACCGAGTTTGGGATATGCACGCGTGTGTGCGATGTGCCTCGGTAGTGACTGAATCCCCCTAGTGGAATTTAACTGCAGGTTTTGTGTTGTGCACGTAAGACAATATTTTATGTCTTTCATGTGCCACACCAAAATAGATGATGTCAGCCCGACCTAAAGCTGCCACCTTGACGTGGTGGTCGGGCTTCAGTGCTGCAATGATCCCGCGGGCTACACTGGCTGGAACTTCGTTCCACAAGGT